GGGTTTTGCCACATCAGCCAATCTGGTCTCAAACTCCTGACCTCAGGTGATCTGCCCACCTTGGCCTCCCAAAGTGCTGGAATTACCAGCATGAGACATTGTGCCCAGCCTAGAGGATTTCTTTTCACCACTGTCCTTCAGGGATGTCCCAGACAGTGGATATGATGCTGTAAATGTCCACTTCTAAGTGTGACCCGTGCATGGTACAGAACCATCTCGAACCCAGGCCCAGTTGTTCTCTTCTTCTAGCAACTGACCACAGGGAATTCCATATGAGGCCGTAAGTGCAGGCTGGGCAAAAGAAAGTAATGTCCCAGGAATGGGGATCATGGGCACTGGGGCCAGTGCTTCATGTAACTTTCTTGCTCCGTCAGGGCCTACTTAAGCCCAATTTTGTATATATGCCAATTCCATTTGAAGATGGAAATGGAAATTTTAGGCTGCACTTGCCCAAATTTATGGCTTGGTAGGCAAAACAACACTCAGTTCAAGATGGGCAGTCAGGTCATAGAATCATTTGCTGGCCTGTGGATAACGATTGAGTCTGCACTAAGGCCTAGAAACAAGCCAAGAGCTGTTTCTCAAAAGGAGAGTAGTTATCTGCAGAGGGTGGCAAGTCTTTGCCCCAAAACCTAAGGGCCTGTGCTGTGGCTGACCTAGAGGGGCTACCAAAGGTTCAAAATAGGATTACTATCTGCCACCAATACTTCAGGCACCATTGGGTCTGCATATGGCCCAAGTGACGGAAAAATGTCTGCAGCAGCCTGGACCTGTTGCAGAGCCTTCTCTTGTTCTGAGCCCCACTCAAAACTAGCACATGTTCAGGTCACTTGATAAATAGGCCAGAGTAACACACCCAAATGAGGGCTCTGTTGCCATGAAAATCAAAAAGAGCACACTCATTGTATCATTTTCTTGGTTGTGGGGAGTGGGGGTGGCAGATACAACAATTTATCTTTTATCTTAGAATATCTCAGAATAGAAGGAATACCTTGTGCTCCATAGCACTCATCAACTAGGAATTTGTTTCACTGAGGTAGAAGGCCCTGGAAATGTTGTCAGATTTATTTCCCACCCTCTGACATGCAGGTGCCTTACCAGTAAGTCTAGAGTAGTTGCTACTTGTTGCTCGTGAGGTTCAATCAGCATAATGCCATCAATGTTATGGATCATCTTGTGTGACATCTTGTGGAAGGGAAATGCCATCAATATCCCTGCAGGCCAGATATGGTGGCTCATGCCTGTAACCCCAGCACTTTGGGAGGCCAAGGTGGATTGGTCACTTGAGGCCAGGAGTTAAAGATCAGCTTGGCCAACGTGGTGAAACCCCATACAAAACAAAATTTTTCGTTTCATGGTGAAACGAAAAATACAAAAATTAGCCGGCTGTGGTATGCATGGGTAATCCCAGCTATTCAGGAGGCTGAGACGTGGGAATCGCTTGAACCCAGGAGGCGGAGGTTGCAGCAGTGAGATGAGATCGTGCTGTACTCTTGCACTCCAGCCTGGGCAACCGAGTGAGACTCTGTCTCCAGAAAAAAAAGAAAAGATTCCTGCAAATTAAACTATGACATAGGGCTGCCAGTTGATGCATCCCTGAAATAGGATACTGACGGTATATTGCTGACCTTGCCACCTGAAAGCAAACTTCTTTTGGAAGTCTTTACTGACAGGTATGAAGAACAAAGCACTTGCCAGTTCAGTACCTGTATACCAGGTACTAGGATGTAGCAATTTCCTCAAGCAATGAACCCATATCGGGTACAGCAGTTGCAACTGGAATTACCACCTGGTCAGGCTAATGATAATCCACTGTCATTCACCAAGATCCATCTGTCTTTGACACAGACCAAATAGGCAAGTTCAATGGGCATGTAGTGGGAATCACCACAGATGCCTCCTGGATGACGGTAATGGTCTCTGCAATCCCTCCAGGAATGTGGGATTGCTTTTGTTTTTTTGTGCTTTACAGGCAGGGTATCACTCTGTCACCCAGGCTGCAGTGCAGTGGCACAATCATAGCCCACTGTAGCTTAAACTCCTGGCATTAAGCAATCCTCCTGCCTCAGCTCGAGCAGCCAAGACTACAGGCATGTACCATGATACCTGGATAATTCTGTACGTGTATGTACAGATGGAGTCTCACTATGTTGCCCAGGCTGGTCTTAAACCCTTGGCCTCAAATAAGCCTCCTGCCTTGACCTCCCAATGTGCTGGGATTAGAGACATGAACCACCATGCCCATCGGGTATTGCTTTTGATTTACTATATTTTTAAGTAAATGCAAGTCTGATGGCTTCCACCTAGTCTTTTCCACCTTAATAGTCTTCACTACACATGTCCAGGGATGAAGGTGGGGATTGTGCCAGCTGCTGAGTATGTCTATTCCAATTATACATACTAAAATGGGGAAATCAGACAGGGTGGGTGTGGGGACCCACTGGCCCCTTTCTGAGATGGACTCCAGCTTAGTTTGAATATCAACGTAATTTCAGTGGTATGCAAATGCTGTGCTCCTGTACTTCTCCATCTTTCCTCCTTCATCTTGTCGTCGTCATAGATCACATCCTTGTACATTTCGTGCCCATTAGCATCAATTTGTAATTACTGTTTTCTGCATTTGCTCTTTAAATCAAATTAGTAAACAAGAGGATTTACAAACCAAAAGTACCATAATACTGTGCTATAAACTGAATTGTGTCTCCCAAAATCATATGTTGAAGCCTTGCCATCCAATGCAATAGTATTTGGAGATGGTGCCTTTGAGAATTAATTTGGTTTAGATGAGGTCATGAAGATGGGGCCCTTATAATGGGCTTAGTGCCTTTTTAAGAAAAGATGCTGGACAACTTTCTCTCTCTCTCTCTCTCTCTCTCTCTCCTTGTGTGCACAAGGAAAAGTTTACATGAATGCACCACAAGATGTTGGCCATCCCCAAACTATGAGAAATAAGCGTCTGTTGTTTAAGCCACTTGGCCTATGGTATTTTATTATAGCAGCCTGAGTAGCTGCATACTGGCATTTATATTTACCTATGTAGTTACCTTTTCCAGTGTTCTTTATCTCTTCATATGCCTTCGAGCTATTACCTAATGTCATTTCATTTCCACCTACAGGATTCCTTTTAGCATTTAACAGGGCAGATCTACTAGTAATGTGCTCCATTACCTTTTGTTTAAGAATGTCTTAATTTCTTCATTCTTGCATGACTATTGCTGGATATTGAATTCTTTGTTGCAGGATTTTGTGTGTTTTTGTTTTTGTTTATTGGCACTTTAAATATGTTACCCACTCCCTTCTGGCCTCTGTGGTGCCAGATGAAAAATTAGCCAAAAACCTTATAGAGATTCCCTTGTACATACTGAGTGGGCCACTTGCTGCTTTCAAGATTTTCTGTTTGTGTTGGCTTTTGTCCATTTGACTGTAATGTTTCGCAGTGTAGTTCTCTTTTAACTTATCCTGCTTGGTGATAATTGAGCTTCTTGGATCTGTAGACAAATGTTTTTCAAAAGTCTTGCATCTCCTTGTTAAATTTATTCCTAAATGTTTTATTCATTTTTATGTCATTGTCAATGAAATTGTTTTCTTAATTTCCTGTTTGCATTGTTCTTTGCTACTGCAAAACTTTTACATTGAAAACTATCAAACGTTGCTGTAAGAAATTAAAGAAAACCAAAATAAACAGTAAGCTATTCCATGTTCATCGATCAAAACAGTGTTACATTACCAAGGCAATGTACAGATTCAATGCAATCCCTGTTAAAAATCCAGTGGTGTTATTTTAAAAATGAAAGAACTTATATTCAGAGTCATATGGAATTAAAAAGGACCCACTGACCAAAAACAATCTTGTAAAAGAAAAGCAAAGTTGGGGGAACTCACACTTTCCAATTTTGAAACACATCCTCATTCCAGGGCAGCTTTAGTGCCCCTTTTGGATCACTCTTTCACTCTATAGAGATATGACCCTTTTTCTTCCCATTTTCTTCTGTGGCTGATGATGTGAGCTTTAATTTTGAAGGGTTTCCTTATTGTTGTATGACTTCTGCTCCTGGTTGTATCTTCCACTGGCGGGGAGCTCATTCAGAACAGCTATTAGAACATTCTTCTGTGCATTTCCAAGGTCTAAGATGGCACTGTCCAATATAATAGTCCCTAGGTCCATGTGATTGCTAATCACTTGAAATATGCTACTGCAATTGAGATGTGCATCAGTTGAAATATACGCAAGATTCGAAGACATACTATGAAAACATGCTGTAAAATATCTTTATATTTTACATGGATTACATATTTAAGTGATATTATCTGGGGTACATTAAATTAAAATTAATTTCACCCCTTCTTACTTTTTTTTAATGTGGTGAGTGTGAATTTAAATTTCATATGTGGACTGGGCACAGTGGCTCACACCTGTATTCCCAGCACCTTGGAAGTCCAAAGAGAGTGAATCATTTGAGCCCAGGAGTTCGAGACCAGCCTAGGCAACATGGTGAAACCTCATCTCTACAAAAAAAACCTATGGTGATGTGCACCTGTATTTCCGGCTACTTGTGGTCGGGGAGGTGGGGGGCCTGGGAGGTCGAGGCTGTAGTGAGCTGAGATCGCAGCACTGCACTCTAGCCTGGGCTATAGCACAATACCCTGTCTGAATACGTAAATAAATGTGTGTCTTATATTTATTTTGGCAGTGCTGGTCTAAGGTGTGTAAATGCAGAATTGATGAACTGACCAAGCTAGGTAGAGATTTCCCTGTTTGGATTCCACTCATTCCTGAAAGAGGAGTCCCCAAGTCACCACGGCCAGCTCCTGGGAATCCTGTGATGTTTCACTCACCAGCTTTTCTCTTCCCTCCCAGAGAATCCTGTGATGTTTCACTCACCAGCTTTTCTCTTCCCTCCCAGAGAATCCTGTGATGTTTCACTCACCAGCTTTTCTCTTCCCTCCCAGAGAATCCTGTGATGTTTCTTTCACTCACCAGCTATTCTCTTCCCTCCCAGGATACCATATCTCAGAAGACGGTAGAGATTGTATCTCCTGCCAAAATGGACAGGACTATACCACTCACTGGAATCACGTCCTTTTCTGCTTTCGCTGTACAAAGTGTGATTCAGGTATAGAACATATGGACCCCATGCCTAAAGGTGGAATGCAGGGTGATGACATAAAAGTTGTAGCTAAAATGGGATCAAGGAGACCGAGATTCTGGCCCCCCTTGGTCTTCATCAGACCTTGTTCCATGATTTTGTCTTGGAGTCTTAATAAATAAAACAGGCCAGGCACAGCGGCTCACGCCTGTAATCTCAACACTTTGGGAGGCATTGCTTGAGCCCAGGGATTTGAAACCATCCTGGGCAACATGAGAAACCATGTCTCTACAAAAATATAAACATTAGCCAGGCATGGTGGCACTTGCCTGTAGTCTCAGCTACTCAGGAAGCTGAGGCAGGAGGTTAGTTTGAGTCCAGGAGGCTGAGGTTGCGGGAGCTGAAACTGTGCCACTGCACTCCAGCCTAAGCGACAGAGCAAAACCCTGTGTCAATAATAATAAAACATAAATTATTTGTATAATGTATGCTACATGGTAAGGAAATCTTTTAAACTATCAGCTGCAAGGGGGTGGGGGCATCATTACCAGACAGAGAAGGCCTGGCTGAGTGGAAAAGTTTGGGTGTCAGTGGTGGCACGAGTCTGCTCCAGGGCCAGGCTCTCTCCCCTGGGCTCTGTGCTCCTGGCAGGTTCTCAGTCCCCTTCCTGCTCCCCAGCAAGCCTGGGCTTTGGGGAAATCACGCAGGGGCTCCTCTCCTTGCAGAGTCTGTCAGGCAATGCCCCTGAGCCTCCCTTGCTACTGACCATGCGATCTAAATGATGCTTTCCTCTAATCTGATGTAATCAATAATGAATCGTGGTCCTTTTGTATGACTCCAAGTGTTGGTGACAGCTGAAGGGTGGGTGTCCTGTATGAGCCCCAAGTGTGCTGGTGCAGAAACCAGCCCTCAGAACTTCTTGGCGAACTGAAATGAACTGAGTGGGTGGGTCTTGGGGCGGGGAGGAAGGGTCGAGGGACACATCAGGAAAACACATTCCCAAAACGTTATGCTCTGTCGTTAGGTAAAGTGGAGATAAGATCCTGTACCACAATCACAGACACAGTGTGTCAGTGTGAAGAAGGCACCTTTCAGGAAGAAGATTCCCCTGAGATATGCCGCAAGTGCAGCACAGGGTGAGATGGCAGCTCCATGGAACCCCAGGAAGACTCAAATCTCCTTGTACCCCCATCTCTCCCTGGCCCCATGGAGCCTCCACCCCTTGAGTCTGTGGCGGCCCCTCCTGGTCCCTCTGCCTGTTCCTACCCCTGCCCCCTGCAGCAGCCCTTTCCCACCCCTCCCCAGCATGAGTCCCCTTGGCTAGGCTGACTTGCTCACTGCCCACAGAAGGCCATGACTTAGGGCCCATGATACTTTTAGGGGCCCATGAAATTATTTCATTTCTTTTTCTTTTTTTTGTTGAGACGGAGTCTTGCTCTGTCACCCAGGCTGGAGTGCAGTGGTGTGATCTGGGCTAATTGCAATCTTTGCCTCCTAGGTTCAAGTGATTCTCCTGCCTCAGCCTCTGAGTAGCTGGGATTACAGGCATGCACCACCACACCTGGCTAATTTTTGTATTTTTAGTAGAGATGGGGTTTCACTATGTTAGTCAGGCTGGTTTTGAATTCCTGACCTCGTGGTCTGCCCGCCTCAGCCTCCCAAAGTGCTGGGATTACAGGCATGAGCCACTGCACCTGGCATAATTTACTTTCTTTTGAAATGAGAAGAATGAGTCGAATGCTGCCAGGCTTATATTTCATCTTCATACCAATTCAGTACTAACATGTAATTTTTAATATTTTTTATGCAGGCAGGGACCCATAAAGGCAAAAGTGCCTGCAGCCCACAAAAGTCACAATCAGGCCGTGCGTGGGTGGAGCTCCCTTAAGTTCCCATGAAGAGCTGAGCCCACCCAGCCGGCCTCACCCCTGGCCCCTGATCCCTTAATAAGACTTGTCTTTTCCCTATTTGGGTTTTAGGAGCCAAGAGTAATTTGCTGTTCTCTGGCCCCCAAGTATTTGCTGTGACTGGAAGGAATGGGCAGACAGGTGGGGGCGAGAGCTCACCTTTGTGGTTGTCTGGAGGATGAGGCTCTGCTTGTGACCACGTGGGCATACGATCTTCCCCTGGAGTGCGGCTCCTCCTAACGCAGGCCTTCCCTGAAGCCCAGGGAAGCTCAGTGTGTGCCCAGCACAGAAGGTTCCTGGAGCTGCAGCTCTGACCCCAGAGCAGGAAGGCCGAGGGGCTGAAGTACATATGCTCAGACCCTTCCCCAGCCTCAACCAGGGAGCATGGGGGGGGCCATGCAGACACGAGGAGCCTGCCCTTCCTTCCCCTCACGCCTTCTCAGGGACATTGGGCAAGGAGGGTGACTCCTCTTTCATCCCACCTGGCTAGCTTTCCTTCAAGAGTTCCCCCTCTTCTTCCCTGTTTGTACCCAGGTGCCCCAGCGGGATGGTCAAGGTCAGGGATTGTACGCCCTGGAGTGACATCAAGTGTGTCCACAAAGAATCAGGTACAAAGCTCAATGGGGGCACCCCAGCTGCAGAGGAGACAGTGACCTCTAGCATGGGGACTCCTGCCTCTCCCTGTTCCTTCTCAGGCATCATCATAGGGATTATAGCTCTAATCATATTCCTGGCTGTGGCTGCGTATATTATTTGGAAGACTTCACTGTGGAAGAAAGTCCTTCATTACCTGAAAGGCATCGGCTCAGGTAGGTGCTGGCTGAGGGTGGGGCGCTGGGCCCTCTCTGCCCTGCCTCCTCCCACTCTGTTCCCACAGACAGAAACGCCCACTCCTGCCCCAAGTCCAAGTGTCTCCGGCCTGGCTGTTCCTCCTTGTGATTGCCCCATCCCCACATCCCATGCACCCCCCAGGACCCTGGTCTCATCAGTCCCTCTCCCAGGGGCAGGGGTCCCCTCATCTCCCAGCCAGGTCCAGGAGGGCAGGGCCAGTTCCTCCCATCTTCAGGCCCAGCCTGGCAGGGCGCAGTCGGCTCCTCAACTGGGTGACAAGGGTCAGGATGAGGTATGGTTGGAGGATTTATTCAACCTTGGTCATAGCAGAGCCAGAGACTTTCCATGTGTTTATTTTTACTCTAATTCCCCTTCTCATCCCCCTTCCTCAGAGTGTCTCTGAGTTGCAAAGTCCCATTCCTGTCCCCAGGCTTGGGGCTCCTTGTCCAGGGTCCAGCCCCCAGCTTGCCCCTGCATGCCCACTGCCCTCTGGGAGGGAGGTGCTGCATGGGCCCTGCCCCACCTGTTAAGGAGACTCCTTCTCTTCCAGGTCGTGGCCGGAACCTTGAGTGTGTAGACAGAGTGAGTTGGTTTCTTCAGGAGCTGGGGGCTCAGAGGCTCAGGAACTGTTTCCTGGGACAACAGAACCTGAGTGGGCAGGTCCCTCTTGTCCTTATGGCTGTCCTGACTCTCTGAAGTGGCCTGGAGGCTATGGGCTGACTGTGGGGGACACATGGCCCTTTTGAGCACCACACAGGCTGGTGAGCCCTGCTGCAGCCTAGGTGACACCCTCACCCCATAGCCTGCACCCTGGAGATGGGGTGTCTGCCTGAGCACAGCATTAGGGGCCTGGCCTCAGCAGTGGATCCTGGATGCATTGAGTCAGGGCTGTCTGGGGTGACCTCATTGAGAGGGGGTGGGGATGGAAGGTTCAGTAGCATTCTGGGGACCCTGCAACGCGCCCTGGGTGTGAACTCCTGAGTCGGCTCTTTGCCTTCCCAATGTCTTTTTCCAGAGCTCACATACCCGAGGAGGGCCTGGGACTGAGGACAATGTCTGCAATGAATCCATGAGTATCTTGCAGCTCATCCAGGACTCTGAGCAGGAAATGGAAGTCCAGGAGCCAGTGGTGGCAGGTGACAACGTGTCGCCCCCAAGGGAGCCAGAGCATCTGCTGGTGAGTGGGGGACAGCCCATTCTGTTTCCTGGCCTGCTGCTCGCTTGGGATTTTCTAGACAGTGGGAGAAGGCAGTTCCTTAGCTCTCCTGGCCCAGGAGAAATGGAACCTGAAGGAGACACGGGACTGCAGGGGATGGAGCAGCCACACTGACGTGGTGACTGTGCCACTCTGCAGGACATCTCCTTCTTAGTTCCTGTGCTGTCCTTGCTGTGTCCCCAGAGCCTAGAGATCTATAGGCACAGAGTGGAGGTCACAGGGTTTGTTGATGACTGAATAAGGCTGCACAGTCTCCACCATGTGCTCCTAACAGAACTCAGGGAGCCCTTGCTTGAAACAGCAGAAGTTTTGAATTTACTCTGAAATTGTTATTATGTTGAACATATTTCAAAGTTGGTAGGGTAGCTCCCAAAAAGTAGGATTCCGAGTTGATGCTCAGAGGGCTTTTGTATCGGACACACGCACACAACCAGTTCATTTCAATCCATCAGTTTTGATATGATACTGAGTAGGTGGGAAATCTGTACATAGATTTAATTTTTCATTGCACAGAAGCATTGAAAGTCCTTCCCTCCATCATAAGATGAGATTATCCAGTTTCTTGCAGTGTTTTATTTTAATGATTTAATTTTTAGCATACAGCAACGTAATCAAAACAGAAATGAATTTTTTGATTCAGTGTAAGCTGAGGAACTCCCTGAATCATTCTGAGTCTGTTTTCTTCTTCCAACCCCATTTAACGCCCAATTCTTCCTCTTCCCCCTGCCTTTGCCCTTTTGCCACCTCCTTTGCCACATGTCAGATGTTTACTTTTTTTTTTTTTTTTGCTTCCTCTTCATTCTTTTTTTTAACTAGATCTTGTCCTTGAAAATGTCAAAAGTTGATGTGGGCAGTGATCTCTTCCACCTAGACTGTTTCTGTTTCTTCCTTGCATCTATACCACTTGCTTTTTAAATAAAGAGAAGAGAATTTTAAAGAAATCAAATGAACAATGCCAATAATTCCTCCATGCTGATTAATCACTTTGACCATTTTCTTTTTTTTGAGACAGGATCTTGCTCTATTGCCCAGGCTGGAGTGCAGTGGCATGATCTTGGCTCCTTGCAACCCCTGCCTCCTGGGCTCAAGTCATCCTTCCATCTCAGCCTCCTAAGTAGCTGGGACTATAGGCATGTGTCACCGTGCCCAGCTAAACTTTGTACTTTTTGTACAGACAGGGTTTGGCCATGTTGCTTAGGCTGGTCTCGAACTCCTGAGCTCATCCAATCCACCCCCCCCATGGCCTCCCAAAATGCTGAGATTACAGGCGCAAGCCACCATGCCCGGCCTGATCATTTTTTAAAAGCAGGTCACCCATAGCTACACATCCACCAGAGTATGAAAACACTTGACCATCTCCAGAGCCTCCTCTCTTTCCCCAGCCTTCTTGCCCTTCTTATTTCAGGTAACTACAGTGGATAATTTCTTGCTAAACTCTTTATGCATATACCATCTTTGTCCATGCATGTGTATATATGCAGTACTGACATGAAAAGAATTATATCATGCACAACACTAAACAAAACTGTTTTAATATCTTGGACAGCAAATATGTTTTCAAAGTCATTTTTACACATCTTAAAACGTAGAATTAGATAAAATTTAGAATTATAAGATTTTCTCTGCACTACCCCCCCCCAAATGATCACTGGACTTTAAAAAATGTTAATTTAAATTAATAAATGTCTCTAGGAGTGATTGAGAGCCTTTCAACATTCAGTTTTATTATCAAAGGAAATAGTATTTCAAGTCAAGTGTTTTATTATGACTCAATCAAGGTTTGGGGGTTTATTTTACATAAATTATTCTGCATCAAAGCTGTTTCTTTGCATTTTGGGTCTTCTTGTAAGTCCATTTTCTATTTTATGATGTCTGCTGATACTTTTCTTTCTTTTCTGAGACAGGTCTCACTCTGTCGCCCGGGCTGGAGTACAGTGGTCCAGTCATGGCTCACTGCAGCCTTGACCTCCTAAGCCCAAGTGATCCTCCTGCTTCAGCCTCCAGAGTAGCCAGGACCATGGTTTTGTGCCACTACACCCAGCTAATTTTTATTTTTTATTTTAGAGACAGGATCTCACTATATTGCCCAGGCTGGTCTCAAACTCTTGGGTTTGAGCAATCCTCCCACCTCAGCCTCCCAGAGTGCTGGGATTACAGGTTTAAGCCACCATGCCTGGCCTCTGCTATGTGTTTTAACATTCATCAGGGCTGGGTGTGGTGGCTCACGCCTGTAATCCCAGCTCTTTGGTAGGCTAAAGCGGGTGGATCACCTGAGGTCAGGAGTTCGAGACTAGCCTGGCCGACATGGTGAAACCCCATCTCTACTAAAAAATACAAAAATCAGCTGGGCTTGGTGGCTCATGCCTGTAATCCCAGCTACTTGGGAGGCTGAGGCAGGAGAATCTCTTGAACCCAGAGGTGGAGGTTGCAGTGAGCCAAGATCGCACTACTGCACTCCAGCCTGAGAGAGAGAGCGAGACTCTGTCTTAAAAAAAAAAAAATTCATCAGGACATACTCACTTTTACGAATTACAATTTAAACATTGGGGTTTGAAAAATACTCCTATCTAGAATATTGACTGTTGTGTTGGCCTCCTTCCAAGAGTCTTGCCCCTTTGTTCCCTGTCTTGTTGCCAGAACTTTCAGAACAATGCTCTTTCCGGAAGTGAAGTGCTGCAGGTGTCAGGGCTGGCGGGTGGTCGGGGTCAGTTCTGGACTGCTGGACTCCTGGTTCTGACCACACCTTCCCTACTGTGTGTCACAGGAACCGGCAGAAACTGAAGGGTCTCAGAGGAGGAGGCTGCTGGTTCCAGCAAATGGCGCTGACCCCACTGAGAGTAAGTGTTTTGCTCCTGGAGATGCAGTAGCAATGGAGGGAATAGGGACAGTGTCCTAATTGCTGTCCCCATAGCTAAGAGGGCTATTCCAGAATATTCCATGCTGGAAGCAGTGGTTCCTGTGCTATAGACCATCCGGACCCTAAATTGTCTTCTCCCATCTCTTCTCCCCACTCTACCTCATCCTCTCTGCACCCTGTCAGTGACCCTAACGACTCTGTCAGTCCGCTGGTTCAGCTCCTCTCTCTTCCCTTGTTGTTCAGGGCCTGATGCAGCCTACCCGCCCCCACACCCCGCCCCAAGGACCTCCTGAGGGGCTGCTCTGTCCTGCACGCCACCACTAACCCCAGTGGGCTAAGGAGCTCTTGACATGTGCCTAAGCCCAATTTGCAGAGCTGTTGTGTAAACTACATATGAATTCCAAAGACTTCATGGAAAAAGAGTGGGAAATATTTCACTCATAATTTTTGTATATTGACTGTATATTAAATTTTATATATATTCAGTACCATACATTAAAATGAACGTCACTTGTTTCTGATGCTCTTTAAACGAGGCTGTTAGAAAACATCACCTCGTATTCCTGGCCCTGTCTGTCTCTAAGGACGGCGGCCTGCTTCGTGTTCTACACACGTCTCGTTTAATCCCTCATGGTCCCAAGATCTGGGCCAGGTTGCTTTGTCTTCAGGTTCAGTTCTTGCTCAGGGTCTGCTTGCCTCCACCTAGCTCTGCCGTAATCTCAGGGAATGAGGCTGAGCTGGGTGTAAACAGAGGTCCCCTGCCCCAGGCCCTGTGCTTTCCACAAATGCAGAAGTGGCTGCCCTGGGACCTGCTCCCATGACAAGTGCAGGCCAGGCAGCCTCCCTCCTCTGAGCTCCCACTGCAGCCATGCTCTCTCCCTCCGTCGGGCTCTCACGCACTTTGCTTTCTGCCTCTGTGATGTCCATCCATCCTCCCCAGGTGGGTTCTCAGCCCTGTGTAGGAGCAGATTCTCTGGTGACCTGGACTCCCCAAACACTTTGGGTGTGGGAAGGCCAGGCAATATGGGCGGGCTCTCTGTGGATGGGAAGTGCATGGGCACTGGAGCGGCAGGAACACCCACACAGGGGGCTCTCCAGGTACTCCCCTTGGTTCTGGGCCTGATGTGGGATCCTCTGTCCTTTCTGAGTCCCAGCTCACCTGGCTCTCTCTGTGGCTTTTTCCACCCAGCTCTGAGGCAGTGCTTCCACCACTTTACAGACAACGTGCCCTTTAACTCCTGGGTGCCGTTTGCGAGGGAGCTGGGCCTCACGGAAAATGAGATCGACGTGGCGAGAGCTGAGGCAGCGGGCCCTGGGGACACCTTGTATGAGATGCTAAGAAAGTGGGTCAACAAAACGGGGCGGGACGCCTCTGTCCACACCCTGCTGGATGCCTTGGATTCGCTGGGACAGAGACTTGCAAAGCAGAAGATCCAGGATTGCCTGGTGAGCTCCGGCAAGTTCGTGTATCTAGAAGATAATGCAGATTCTGCCATCTCCTGAGTGTGAATCCCTTCAGGATGTCAGACCTTCCAGAAACAGGTTTACGTTTGTTTCTGGAAAAAGCTGGACTCCAGACAGTGGGAAAGTACAACTGTCACATGACCGGTACTGGAAGAAACTCTCCCGTCCAATATCACCCATGGATGGAACATCCTAGAACTGTTTCACTGCACTTGAAATTCTTTTTATAAGCTGAATGTGACAAGCACACTATGGAAATGTCTGGATGATTCTGTGTGTGTGTATATTGAGAGTTGGTTTGGGATGTCATTCTCTTTATGGCACTTTTTTATCCTAATGCAAATGCTTTATTTACATGGGTTACGTCGTATATTCCATCTGCCTTAGCATCTGCACAGTTCCTTATGTTGAACTTTACTTGATACTATATGATATGAACTTTTTTCTGAGGGTGGTCTCACTCTGTCTCCCAGGTTGGAGTACAGTGGCGGGATCTCGGCTCACCAGAGCCTTGACCTCTCAGGCTCAAGCGATTCTCCCACCTCAGCCATCCAAATAGCCGGGACCACAGGCATGCACCACCACACCCAGCTAATTGTATTTTTTCTAGATATGGGGTCTCTCTGTTGCCTAGGAGGGTCTCGAACTCCTGGACTCAAGCAATCCGCCCACCTCAGACTCCCAAAGTGCTGGGATTATAGGTTTGAGCCCCTGCACCTGGCCTTACCTTTCTACTTGTATAATTCTGTATGTGATTATTTTGTGAACATGAAGAAATTTTAGTAAATATACTTGTTTACATAGTTATGTGAATGCATTAGACAAATGTACAATGAATAGACATACAACGAGGGAAGCAGAAAAATTCCTCTGTAAGATGTCGCTGTCTGGGTTCCAGGTCTCCCTCTGATATACTTTGGATTCAGTGACTGGCAGCTCAGTCTTTTGAACTGGATAACCTTAGAGGTGTATGAGTATTATTTATAGGTAGTTGTTTACATGTGATCGAGGAGGAGAACTGGATGCACGTGAAGTCCTGTGTGTGGCTGCTCCGTATCTGGCCAGTCTCCTTTGCACCCCCAGCCCCCATCTGTGGACAGGCAGAGAGGGAGGCAGATGGGTTAGATCAGATGCAACAAGTAGGGTCTATGTCATATCCCATTTCCAGTGAATGTAGTGAACTTGAGCCTGTTTGGTCTCAGGAGAGAGAGGACAAAATCTGTCTCCCGTGTCTGCCATGGCATCGAGTGGGAAGAGTGGATGGTGCTTGGGAATGGTGTGAAGTGGTTGCCAACTCAGGAGTGGACAGCCCCACTTGCTTCTGGTGATCTGTGATCCTGAGCCCCTGAGCTGCATCTTAGGGTACAGGCTCCCTATGTGAGGAGCTTGGCCCCTCTGTAAGCATCTGACTCATCTCAGAAATATCAGTTCTTAAACACTGTGGCAACAGGACCTAGACTGGCTGATGCAATCAGGCTTTGTCTGTGTGTCCTGTTCTGTTACTGTTTTAAAACCTCAGTAACCATTTCAGCTTCTTTCCAGCAAACCCTTCTCCATAGTGTTTCAGTCATGGCGGCATCATTTTTGCAGGTAGTCATTCTAGGAGTTTTTAGTCTTTTCTGTCTCAAGACATTGTGTGTTGTCCTGCTCCGGGACTGGTTTGGCTGGGACAGTTAGAATTGCCTGAAGATTTTGGCACATTCAGAGTGTTGTGTCTGGAGTTTTGGGAGGGGTGGCCTTTCTGGTCTTGGCACTTCCATCCTCTCCCACTTCCATCTGGTATCCCACGTGTTGTCCTCTGCACTTCTGGAAGGCACAGCGTGCTGCTGCCTCCTGGTCTTTGCCTCTGCTGGGCCTTCAGTGCAGGATGCTCGGCCTCAGAGCTCAGAGGGAGCCAGTCTGGTCCCAGCTCCCTTGTCCCTTCTGCAGAGGCCTTCCTTGAAGATGCATCTAGAGTATCAGCCTTATCAGCGTTTGCAAAGCTTATACTTTTTCCTTTTTTGAAGATGGAGTCTTGCTTTGTCATCCAGGCTGGAGTGCAGTAGCACGATCTCAGCTCACTGCAACCTCTGCCTCCTGGGTTCAGGCAATTCTCCTGCCTCAGCCTCCCGGGATTACAGGTGTGTGACACCATGCCCGGCTAATTTTTGTATTTTTTTTTTTTTTTTGAGACAGAGTCTCGCTCCATCGCCAGGTGCCAGGCTGGAGTGCAGTGGTGCAATCTTGGCTCACTGCAACCTCCGCTTCCCAGGTTCAAGCAATTCTCCTGACTCAGCCTCCTGAGTAGCTGGGACTACAGGCCCGTGCTACCACGCCCGGCTAATTTTTGTATTTTTAGTAGAGACAGGGTTTCACCGTGTTGACCAGGTTAGTCATGACCTGACTTCATGATCCACCTATCTTGGCCTACCAAAGTGCTGGGATTACAGGCGTGAGCCACCATGCCCAGCTAGGCTTATTCTTTTATTTTTATTTTTTGAGACAAAGTCTCGCTCTGTCACCAGGCTGGAGTGTGACGGCGTGATCTTGGCTCACTTTGATCTCCTTGACTCACTCTTGACCCCTGGGTTCAAGCGATCCTCTTGCCTCAGCCTCCTAGGCAGCTGGGATTACAGGTGCCCACCACCACGCCCAGCCAAGCTTCTTTTAAAGTAAGTTTCCTGACATAAAATTGTTGCCGTTTTTTGGCGTTTGGGTAGGTTGGGTTTTGCTCCATCCCCAGGCCAACTAGCCTGCGACACACGGAAGCCACTTAGTGCAGTGTGTCACTCGTGGTCGGTATCCTTTCATGCCTCTGCCTTGTCAGAGGTCCCTGTTTGAAGTTTGTTAGAGTATTAAACAATACAAGGAAACACGTTATGTACAAAATACTTATGTATTTATGAATTAATGACCAAATTAAATATGAAACCTTATATAAAAAGAGGTGTGGTTTTGTCTCCCGCCCCCATCCTTCCCTCCTCAGTGAATCAGCTCTGAGTGACAGGAGGCCAGGGCTGTGGTCCTGCTGGGACTCCTCCCTTCCTCCCCTGTCTGCCTTCAGGCTTGGCCTGCTTGGGGGGGGTTTCCTGCATCCGACTCCCTGGAGTTTAAAAAGCCAGGTTCCTGGGGACTGGAATTCATACCTCCCTCCCCTCTCCTGCCTGCTCCTCCCTCTGGGGACAGGGGCACCAGAGCTGGCCTGTTTCACCCCAGGAGGGTTCTCTTGGCTGCCTGGCTCCTGCATCTGTCTCTGACAGTTCTCAGGGAAGGGCTGGTGGGTCCCTGAGGGGTCAGCCAGGCCTGTTTCTCAGGGAGTCTGGTGGTCACTCTCCTGTGGCTTCCTGCAGCCCTGGGCCACCTTCACTTTCTCTGCCCTGGCATTCTCTGCATCCCATCAGTGGACCCAGATTGCCCAGCCCTGCAGGCACCTGGGAGACCCATTTCCCACTCTCCTTGTTCTGGAGTACCCGCTCTCCCTCTTACCCACGGCTCCCGGGAGGCCCAGAGGGGAGGTGGGGCTGTTCTGGGCTCCCCTCTTGCTTCCCTGGTGCCCAGCCCCTGGGCTCCGGAGCCTCACTTGGAGCCCTGGGCTGAGCGGAACTGCAGGGAGGCTGAGCAGCCTGTAGAGGGCAGCACGCGCATGGCTTCGCAGCCACAGCCCTGGAGGGTCCTGGGCCTGGACAACGTGGCTTCCCCCAGGGCTAGAGCCGCTTGTCCTCCCACCGCCTGCTCTTTCTCGATGAGGATTTAACTTTGTTTCGGGTTCGCTCAACACCAGGCCTAACCAGCCAAGCCCTCTCAGCCAGAACATCTTTCACAAGGTGAGGCAACTCCTGAGCTCAGGCCCACAGCCCCACAGACTCCATTTTTTACACCTAAAAAGGTGAAATTTGGGTTTGGATTAGAAAACGGAAAGGGGCAATTGTGGCCCAGCGTTTGCCCCATGGGGGCTGGGAGCTACTGTTCAACCCCCTCCATTCCTCCAGCCCTGCCCTCCTCCTCTCTGGTTGAACCTGGCTTTCCCTTCGGCTCCATTCCCCCTCCTCTCCTTCCCTTTATCCCACCCGGCACTAAGAAGGCTAGGTCCTCTATGTTCGCTACAGGAGACAGCTGGACCCCAGGGCCATGCCCCTTTCTCTGACCTCTGGCCCCTACTGCAGCCCCCCGAAAACACCCACCACAAGCATCCTGTGGGGTGGTCCTCTGAGGGCAAGGAGGGGAGCCTGCAGTCTCCAGATGGGCAAAAGCAAATGTCCAGTGCCATCTGAGTCCTGAAACCAAACCCCTCCTTGCCACCAGCCCTGGCCCCTCCATCACCAACCTGCTGGAGGCCAGGCCCCTGTGCTGTGCTGGGAGCCAGCTGGCAGGGTCAGGGCCTCCACCGTCAGAGAAGTGCTGAGTCCTTTCCTGAAAGGCAGCAGCGTTGATTCTGCCACCTCAATCTTCACCTCCTCATCATGGGGGCCTCTGTTTAGAGAAATGTGAGCTAGGCAGGGGCTTTTTCTGATTTTCATTCTTTGGCGGGTATAGAGGACAGAGTGTTTGTTGGTGATTTTTTGTTTCCATTTCAGTTTGGTTCTTGTTTGCTTTTGTTTTTTGCTAATTCTGCCCCACCCTATAAAAAGCAGTGGCCCCCAGAGGCTGGGGAGGGCCTGAGGAGCTCCAGTTGCTGTGCACTGGTTCCCACTTCCTTCTCTGCCTGTCCCAGCTGCTTCTTTTGGTTCCCATCTCCGAATCTGAGGGTAAAGGAGGGGTGAGGGAGAAGTTTCTTGTTGCACCAAGAGGCGCTGCTTCCAGGCCTGGAACTCCAAACGACCTCTGTCCCCCTGATCAGGCCTGTGCTACCACCGCCCCCTGGGAGGGAGGGACGCTGGCCGGATACAGGGCTTTCCACTCCTGGCCTTTTGCAGCTGCACCCCAGGATGCAGAAGCCTTGAGTTGAGCTCTGAAGGCTCCACTTCTACCCTGACTTCTCCAGTGGGGATGTGACAGGCTCTGTGTGGAAATGCCACAAAACCATTGTAACACTCAAGTCCATCGGTGAAAGACATGGCCACAGGGGCAGGATCCGCCAGGATCACTTCTGCTTACTGGGAGGGGGTGCCTCTCTGGCCAGAGCAGTGACCAAGACACTCGGGGAAGCAGTCGAGGCTAGGAGGCTTGCCCTTTGACTCAAGGGCTCTCGAACCCAGAGATAAAATGCCAGAGCACTCGCTCCTCCTGGCAGTTGACTCCCATCCTGCTTTGGGTCTGGGGACCTCTGCAGGTGGTTCCCGTTCTGCTCCACAGGGCTCTGCTCCCCTCTGGCTGAGCCACAGTGGCTGGTGAGGACAGCTCCACCCTCTGGGTCCTGGTTACAGGGGCCCCCTGGTCCCTGTAAAGTGGATGGGGTGATGCGGAAGAGCAGAGGGGCGAGGGGTGATGTGGACAACAGCAGCAGGGTTAGAAGAGGATGGTGGCGTCTCAGACCACAGCCGAGGAGGAGGACGGGGATGAGGAGGAGGCTGCCGAGGAGGACGGGGAGGACGGACTGTTCCAGAACAGCCACCGCCGCTTAGGCTGCCGCTTGAGGTGGAGGTAGTCCTCCTTCTCGCGCTCCTTCCGCGCCCGCTGGTAGTGATCTTCCTCCTTCAGGTACCACACGGGCGGCCACCGGTGCTTCTCGAAATACTCCTGGTTTTCTGGAGCAGAGAGCAGAGTGGCTTGGTTACAAAGGAGGTACAGGGACAAGAAGACTGTGGGACATCAGCCTCCCCTGCCACGAGGCCTGCAGCAGGCCCCAGCCCAGCCCCCAACATATCCCCAACACGCGAGCCCACGAGACAAGTGAAATGCTCAAAGAGCGGGCTGAAAGTCAGCACTGGGGAAGCCCTTCCAGCTGTGTTTCTTCCCAAAGACAGTGGGGCGAACTAAACGGGGGCTTCCTGAGCATTGGGAGTAAAACAGACTGAGATGAAGGGTCACGGAGAAGGGGTCAGCAAATGTTGGCTGGGAGACATTCGGCGTGGTTAGGGGATGAGAGTAGGGAGTTTCTGGCCCCAGCTAAGGTTCCCAGGGGGAAGATGTAGTCAGGCCACAGCAGGACACAGCATCAGAGCAGAGGAACCCTGACCTTATTCTGCAGGGTGCGGGGAGCCGCGGAAGCTTTGGAACCAGGGAGTAATGCTATTGGACCGGTGCCTTAGAAAGAAAATGCTAGGCTGGGTAATGCTCACGCCTGTAATCCCAACACTTTGGGAGGCCAAGGGGGGTGGATTGCCTGAGGGTAGGAGTTTGAGACCAGCCTGGGCAACATGGAGAAACCCTGTCTCTACTAAAATACAAAACAAATTAGCCAGGCGTGGTGCTGCACGCCTGTAATCCCAGGTACTTGGGAGGCTGAAGCGCAAGAAATGCTTGGACCCAGGAAGCGGAGGTTGCCGTGAGCCAAGACTGCGCCACTGCACTCCAGCCTGGGCAACAGGCAATACTGTCTCAGAAAATTAAAACAAAAAGTATTTTCATAGTGAAAAGGAGGAGATATCAGGGGTGGAAGACTTGGCATCATGGAGCAAAAACGTGGCAGCAGGGTGGAGGGTCACAGCAGAACAGAGGAAGCCCAAAGAGGACCCCACGGACACAGAGTGGCAGACCCCTCAGGGAGGCCAGGGACACTCCCTGGAGCCTGTGCAGTTCCTGTTGAGCTCTAGGGCCTGAGAAATTAATCAAGAAGAGACTGGAGGCCTCAGAGGATGTCCAGACCCGGGTGGTCCAAGCTGTGGCCTGTGCCCAATCCTGGGTTGTACAATCAATTTAGCGGGCCATGAATAGCATGAAAAAGACGTATATATTTTCCTATATGTGTCCTGGGTCACAAGAGGAAATGTATTTCTTATTATGGTGTTCTGTCCAGAAAAGTCTGAAATCTGCCAGCTTTAGTCCAGTATCCTCTTCATTCCTCTGAGAACGAGAAGCCCGGAGAGGCAGGGTGAGTGCCCTCCAGGCCAGTGCTTTTCCTGGGGCCCTTTGGCTTGGCTGGAGGCTCCTTCGAAGGTTACTCCCGGCCCCAAGGTCAAGGGTCATCACCGGCAGCCTCCCGGTCCCTGGGTTATGTGGGAGCTGTGGAACCCCGAGGGGAGAGCAGCAGGCGCTGCCAGGCGTGGCCCCGGATGCTCACCTGGGGACATGGCCTTCATGTCTCGGGGGAACTTGCGGCACACGTTGTTGTAGTTGGTGCAGATGTGGTGGAGACACCAGTCAGCCAGCTGGTATGCACAGTGGAACTGGGGACAGAAGGGAAGAGTATCTACACTGAAATCTCCATGGGAGAGGGTCTGCACAGACACCTCCACCTGCCTTTAGCACTAAAGCCTGCAGTCCTAGAGCGCCCACGCCAGAGGCAACGTCATACAAAACCAAGGATGCTGCTGCCTCGGGTTCCTTGGCACCACTGCCAGCACAGCCATCCCTCGCCACTGTTCTGCCCGCTCCCAGCATCCTCGCTGCAGACACCCAGAGCCCCATGTGGTGGCTTCATACTGTGTCTGCCCTCCTCAGATCTTACACCACGTGACTTCCCTCTCCTCCCCACCTGGGACCAAGGCAGCCTGCACTGAGGCGCTGACAGTGAGCAGAGGGAGCTACTTTCCCAGGGGTGTCTGCAAGCCCTGTGTGAGCCGGGCCACCACCCCACACACTAATCTTCAGTGGCTGAATTTCTGGCACTGCGAGGGCCAGTGTGGGAGATTTTGCTTGTCTGTTTGGGATTAAGGGAGTGGGTGGTTAATTTCAGATGGAGAGTCCTCAGTCCCCCTTAAATGACCTCAGGCAGGAAGCAACCATATGTAAGTCTGAGCCTGGGGTTCCCTCCCCGGCCCTACTGCTGCCTAAAACCTCATCCCTTCCCTGCTTGGCCAGCTCCCCTCCGGGTACATCAAGATTCCCCAGCTGCTTCCTGGTACGGAGGGGACATGGGCTCTGCATAGTCAAGGAGTCCAGTCCGATGACAGGTTCCCTACATCGACCGCCTTCCAGCCTTCCCACTCACAGCCCGTGGGAAGCAGAGTGTGGTATTGAGGCTACCGTAAATTCCCGTCCCTGCCATGATACCTGAGCCAGCTCCAGGAACACAAGGACGTCCCCATCGATGTCCACCATCATCTGGGTCGCTTCCATCAGCCCGGTCACTGTGTACTGCTCTGTGACACACATGGCTACCAATCAGCTGAAGAAGCACATGACAGGACCTGCGTCCACCCTCCCTCTGTTCCCCTCCCCGCCAGCTCACTATAGGGCAAGGAAAACCAGGACCCCAGCAAGTCCCAATAGGGCAGGAAAGGCCCCAGGCTATGAAGTCTGCTGCCACTGGGAACGCCAGGGATGAGAACAAGACCTTCTCAACAGGCTGGGTTAGGAAGAGTAAGAAGGACATTAGGATCATCCAAGAGGATCTTTCAAACTATGAATGTCCCACGACATAATCTGATAGAGATAGGGTCAAAGTTCCCAATAGAACCAGCCACTGATATACAAAGGAGAGCGTGGGAAACCTCGTGCCTGCCGATCACAGAAAAAGGCTGAGAACTGTTAGTTAGAACTAGGAGTTACCTTTAGTTGTTTGTTTTAATTTAAATTTTGTAACAAATTGTGTACTAAGCTTGCACATTAAATTAAAATATTTATACTGAAGAAATAAACACTCTTGGTTATGAATTTTATTTAGAAGTATCTCTAGATCCAGGTCGGCAATGTCCTTCTCACTGCCTGATTTCCTTCCTTCCCTTCCCTCTCTCTCCCTCCCTCCCTCCCTCCCTCCCTTCCTCCTTTCCTCCCTTCCTGCCTTCCTGCCTTCCTCCCTTCCTCCCTTCCTAAAAAAAAAAAAAAAAAAAAAAAAAGGAGTATCAGTATAAACTCATGAGTTATCCTTAAAAAGATCAAGCCAGGTGCAGTGGCTCATGCCTATAATCCCAGCACTGTGGGAGGCTGAGAAAGGCAAATCACAAGGTCAGGAGTTCGAGACCAGTCTGGCCAACATAGCAAAACCCCGTCTCTACTAAAAATACAAAAAAATTAGCCGGGTATTGTAGTGTGTGCCTGTAATCCCAGCTACTTGGGAGGCTGAGGCAGGAGAATCGTGTGAACCTGAGGGGGCGAAGGTTGCAGTGAGCCAGAGCGTGCCATTGCACTCCAGCCCGGGCAACAGTGCAAGACTCCTTCATTAAAAAAAAAAAAAAAAAAAAAAAAGGCTGGGCGCGGTGGCTGAAGCCTGTAATCCCAGCACTTTGGGAGGCTGAGGCGGGTGGATCATGAGGTCAAGAGATCGAGACCATCCTGGTCAATATGATGAAACCCCGTCTCTACTAAAAATACAAAAAATTAGCTGGGCATGGTGGCGCGTGCCTGTAATCCCAGCTACTCAGGAGGCTGAGGCGGGAGAACTGCTTGAACCCAGGAGGCAGAGGTTGCGGTGAGCCGAGATCATGCTATTGCACTCCAGCCTGAGTAACAAGAGCGAAACTCCGTCTCAAAAAAAAAAAGAAAAAGAAAAAAAATCAAGATCAATGTATTTCCCAGCTGTGTCCACAGAAAAGACCTAGAAACAACAACTATCTCAATACAATGAGCATTCCTAGTGCACACAAATCCCAGTTCCACTTCCAACATAAGAAACCAGGACTTCCTGAAGAAATGGCTGATTCCAGGTCTGGGGCATAGAACGTTCAAGAGGAACCCAGAACATTCCATCATTCCAAATAGGAAGTCCAGAGGCTCTGGAGCCAAGTATAGCATTTGAGCCTCAATGAGGATAACTGCAATTAATTGAAACCAAATATGTTCAAATCTAAGAGAGATCAAAATAATACTTAAAAAGCAAACAGCTGGGCGTGGTGGCTCATGCCTGTACTCCCAGCACTTTGGGAGGCCAAGGTGGGCAGATCATTTGAGGTCAGGAGTTCAAGACCAGCCTGGCCAACATGGTGAAAGAAAGCCCACCTCACCTAAAATTACAAAAATTAGCTGGGTGTGGTAGCATGCAGCTGTAGTCCTAGCTACGCAGGAGGCTGAGGCAGGAGGATTGCTTGAACCCGGGAGTGAGCCAGGATCGTGCCACGAAACTCCAGCCTGAGCGACAGAGTAAGACTCTGTGTCAATAAAAAATAAATAAATAAAAATTAGCTGGGTGTGGTGAGGCATGCCCATAGTCCAAGCTACTTGGGAAGCTGAGTCAGGAAGATCACTTGAACCTAGGAATTCGAGGCTGCAGTGAACTGTGATCAGGCCACTGTATTCCAGTCTGGGCAAGAGAGCAAGATCCTATCTCTAAAATAAAATAATCACAATAATAATTCGGTAAGTTGAACATATGTTTCAAGTGCTTTTATGTATTTGCATTCTACTGAACAATAACACATTTTCCACTTGAATTAATGGCTTCACAGAAGCATATTTATTTTTTAATAATTGTTTTTCTTTTTTTAAAGATGGGGTTTCACCATCATGGCCAGGTCTTGAACTCCTGACCTCAGGTGATCCACCCACCTCGGCCTCCCAAAGTGCTAGGATTACAGGTGTTAGCCACTGCGCCCAGCCAGGAAGCATATCTCTAATTATACAAAACTTGGCATCTTCCACTGACCCTTAGCAAGGCAGATACATACACTTTTGTATATATTTCCTAGAGTGTATCGACAATTTCACGAGAAGTTTCTTAACATTATTTCAATAAGCCTTTCCATGCAGTGGTCCAGTTTGACATTTTTAGTGACATGTAACTGCCTGTGTGTGCTTAACCAAGGGTTTGGCTGTGACTTGCTTCCAATTGCCTGCCCTGACAACATGAACTTCTAGAAATACCTTTAAGCGTTTTTTCCCCTTGGGTCATTTCTCTGGAGGTAGTCTTTTAAAAGTGGAATTATTCCATCTGAGAATTTGAAGTTTTATGCGCTCTGGGAAGACCACACCATTTTTTCATGGACAGCAAGAAAAGATACACTGCTGTGGCTGGGATCTTTCAAAGCCTCTCTTGCTACCTGCCCCGAAGTCCCCTTTACCCCCTTCTGAGGACCCTGGACTCCCTCTGCAGCTTCAGCTCTTAATCTTCTGGTTCTGATCAATGATTTCTGCCTTTTCTCCATAACCCAGCCCACCTTATTCATTTTCATCTTAGGATTGCTGTTTTCTCTCATATCTGAGCCCCAATCTTCATCATCTGCCTAGATAGACTCCAGCAGCTGTGACACTGGGCCCTTCTCTGAACCTCAACTCAATATGTGAGGATCTGCTTTCTGCCCCCCAGCCTATGCAAGAATATTAACCTCGGCATCAGTACGACCACTGGTACCCACGTCACCACCAGCAGCTCAAACAAGAGCCGGCTGCCTGCCTGGGTCCGGGTGTCCAGCCCCAGGATCCCTTCACCCCTCGGACACCACTTCTCTCCCCTGGGCCTTTGGACCCAGACTGCCTGCCACTGGCTCTCCCCCACTCCTCAGTTCTCGCTCCACCTCAGAGAGCCCTTGGGATTGGTCCACACAAAAAGCTGAGCTCTGGCTCATCCAATCAGTTCAAGCACTAAGGAGTGGCAGGGATGTTTGTGTGCTGTTTCTGGAAGGAGGAAGAGAAAGTGATATCAAGGGTAGGGGAAGAAGAAAAATGGAAAAAAGAAGGAGAACCACAGGGTAAAACTGTGGGAATTGTGTTCTATTCTTTTTTGCCTTCTTAAGCTTGTCCAAGTGAAGCCAAGCTAAGAACATAGAGCAAGACCATGTTCCATTTTTGTTTGTTTGTTTTGAGATGCAGTTTTGCTCTGTCCCCTAGGCTGGAGTGCAGTGGTGCAAACTCAGCTCACTGTAACCTCTGCCTCCCGGGTTCAAGCAAGTCTCCTGCCTCAGCCTCCCGAGTAGCTGGGATTACAGGTGCCTGCCACCAAACATGGCTAATTTTTGTATTTTTAGGAGACACGGAGTTTCACCATGTTGGCTGGGCTGGTCTGGAACTCCTGGCCTCAAATGATCTGCCCGCCTCAGCCTGCCAAAGTGCTGGGATTACAGGAGTGAGCCACTGAGCCCAGCCTTATGTTCCATTTTGTTGGGCTGAATCGCCTTTGGAGAGAGCCCCCTCAGGTGACCCCATCAAGCATCCCCTGCACCTACCCTTCTTCACTCTGTCTCCTCATCCAGAACTCTGTGCCTGTCAACAGATTCCATTTGATGTAAGCTCAGTCCCTTGGACATGAGCTAGCCCCTCAGGAGGAGAGAGATGAGAGGAGAACATAACATCGCCCCTTGGGGTTTCCCTGACCTCTCCTCTAGGGAGGTCCCCAAGCACTCTGCTTAGTTACCTGTGAGGGCAACCAGTGTGGCAGGCAGAGGCGGTTGGCTAGGATGATGAGCTTCATGTCGTCCAGGTCAGGGCTGGACGTGAACATGCCCGTGTAGAGGTATTCCAGCACAGCCCGCATGCAGCTCTTGCTTGTGTAGGGAAACACCACCTGGGTGGGAAGGAGTGAGCAGACAGCAATGAAGTCATTTCTGTGTCTATTTTTAGAAATGGGGTCTCGTTATCCCATCCAGGCTGGTCTTGAACTCCTGGTCTCAAGCATTCCTCCTGCCTCAGCCTCCTCTGTAGCCAGGACTATTGGCATGAGCCATGGCATCCAGCTTCTAAACTCTTCCAAAGGGACGTGGATACTCATTGGCACACTTTGGAAGCTGCTCTGGCTCATGGGATGCTTGAAGGAGGCCTTCCGGTCACCTCAACCTACACCCCAGCCCCTCCTGTCCCTGCAGCAAGCAGAAACTAGATACAGAATAAGAAGGGCCCACAGCAGCTGACTTCTTTCTGTCGGTTCAGAGCAGCTGCTTCGGGCCTCTGGGATCTCTTGAGAGCAGTGCTGCAACAAACTGCTTTCTCATCAGGTGCAAGGCTCTCCAGGCTGTGCTGGAAATTGGCTAGAGCTTTAAAGCTGGCGTCTACATTACCAAGAAGTGCCCGGGAATGGCAGGCCCCAGGGGCTGGTGAGAGCTCCTAGTCTCACATTTTGTGTATCCAATTCCTACTCCCACTCCAGAGACCGACTCCCATTCCCGGTGCATCCACTTAGTCTTCCTTAAGTACTTCCTTCCCAGAGATCTTAGAAAATGTACATTCCACATCACGGGATGCCACGCAGCCTGACTCTGGGTTCTGTTTTTCATTCAAGCATTTGGCGAGTACTTCCTAAGAGACTGGCACTGAGGGAGTATTTGGTAGAAGGAAAAAGACCCAGTCCCTGAACTCAGATGCAGTTACAGAACAGTAGGGGAAACTGTGGATGTTCAGAACTCCACGCGCCTGTGCGAAGCAGAACCTCCCTAACTACGAGGTTCCAGTGCACTCAGGATGGACAGCTGAGGTCCAGGAACCCAGAGTACACCAAGGGCCACCACCCGGGCTACTCTGCTTGGAATGGAAAAGAGAACAAACCCAGGAGAATATATCTAAGGACACACTGAGAGGCTCCTTCCATCCCCAAGTTTCCAGTCTAGGTGCCTGAGAAAGTGGTGGTACCGTGAGCTGGAGGGGCAGTGATTAGAGGGGCAGGTGACTCTATGAAGTATTCCCTCCCTTCCTTTCTTCCTCCCTCCTTCCTTCCTTCCTTTCTTTTTTTCCGTAGAGACGGGGTCTGTGTTCCCCAGGCAGGTCTCAAATTCCTGGACTCAAGCAATCATCCCACCTCCGCCCCGTCTGGGATTACAGGTGTGAGCCACTGCCCAGGCCAAGTTTCTTTATTTTGAGGCTTTGACAACTAAAGCTTGCTGGCCCTATAGGGCTCCCCCAGGGCTGGCCAGGCCTTAGAGATAGTGAAGGAGTTGCCTACCAATGTGTCTTTCATATGCAAACCAACCAATCTAGAGCCTGCAGCCTACTGCCTCCCCTGCCCTAATCCCCTAGAGCCAGGAGACAGACAATAGAGATAGCCCCAGGCCCCACACCCTGCTACATTTATTCAAACCAGCCAATCCTAAACTACTCAATCTGCCTGGCCCATTCCCTCCCAGGGAAATCCTCTGCCTCCTAACTGACCCCAGAGCTTCCCGGTGGCCCCCAGCCATGGTGGTGTGGCATGCCCATCTTCTTGGCATCTGTGCGTAACAAGCTGTCTTAATGACAGCCATCTCCAGATCTGCTGGCCTCCCCTCATCTCAATAATCATAAAACCTACCTTTTAAAACCGTGCTGGATTCAGCCTGGGACACGCTGAGTTTTTCTAGTGGTTTCAGGTGTGTCAGGGAGGCCATAAGGTACAATGTAAAGAGCCAAGGAATAGAAGTCCCGAGTTCAAGTCCTAACTCTCCTTCCAACTTCACACAAGCTACTTCTCAGGGCCTCCGACAATTTCCTAGGTATATGGTAGGAGTGGCGCACGTCTAAGTCGCGTGTGAATTCAATGAGATAATATACCAAAAGCACTTTCTCAACTAGCAGGTTGAGGTGTTGGTGTAATTCCCTCTCCTGGTGCACTGTGTCATCCTTAGCTCCAGGAACTACCTCATCAACCTCTCAGCCCATCACCCTGTGGGTAGTACACAGTCAATGATGCAGAAAGCACCCTGAATGGCAGTGCCTCAGATGTAAAGAGTGCCAGTGTCTCACTCCTTCCTTCCCCCCTTTGTGTCCTCAGCCTTACCTCCCGGGTGGAGCTCTCCACAAATGGCCCCCCAAACATGGCAGCCATCCAGTCACAGCTGGAAATCAGCAGGGGCTTGTGGGCACTGATGGTGCCATCATCCAGGATGAAGGTCACATCTGTCCAGAGGAAGCATCACAGGAGGGCCGGTGAAAGAAGGTGGGATAACGAGCCCCCAGGGGAGCCACGGAGTCTCCTCCTGAACCCAGAAGATTCAGGACACAGAACAACCCCACTCCCAGCCGGGGAAGACCAGGCTTTGAAAGCACGGCAGCCGCAGCTCCAGGATACCAGGAGCTGAGACTGACAGGCAATACTAATGGGATCAACGCAGAACCCCCTCACCTTCCAAGCATGTTCCATACCTGAGAAAGTGCCTTTTGCCAAGCACTCCTTAACCCGGTTGGTCCGGCGGACATGGAAGGCCTTGGTGATCTCCTGGTTCATGAAGGCCTCATTGTTGAGAATATTGGCCACCATCATGCGCAGATCAAAGACCTCGAGCAGCTCGGCAATGTGGGCGATGTGCATGAGGTCACGCTCGTTTTCGTCCAGCTCCCCCGTGTACAGGTACTTGAGGACGGCCCGGAAGGGCCCTGGCTGGATGGAATTGTCCATCTTCACCACCACCATCAGCCGGGATTTGTAGGTAAGAGGATCTTCTGCCATCTCTTCCTGGATGCTCACAAAAGCTCGGCTCCAGGAAGACAGCACACGACCCCTGCCTGGCAGGTACCCTGTCCCATTGCCCCGTAAGATCCCATCGCTGGTGGAGGCACGGAGGCCGGCGGGACCGGAGCCCCCGGCCTCATCCACGCTTTCGCACACGTCAAAGCTGGCTGCCCGGAGCAGAAAGTCTCGCCCGTGGTGATGGTGGTGGTGGTGGTGGTGTTGATCAGGGTGGCCCTGGTGGTCCTCTGGGTGGGCACCCCCTGACCCCGAGGGGCCCCCCAGCTCCCCCTCACTCAGGTCCATGAGGAACAGGTCATAGAACTTGGAGGAAGAGGTGGAGAGGTAGATCTTGTGGGCAAAGATGCGCACCCGCTCCTGCAGCACCAGGATGACGTCCGCGCAGAGCGGGTCCTCCAGGAGGTGGGCGGGGCACTCCTCGCTGCTGGAGGGTGGGTCGGGCACCACGATGATGGGAGGTGGTGGCTTGGGGGGCAGGAAGGGTGCCTGCAGCAGAGGCCGCTGCACGTTACGGAGGTGGGACTTCCAGAACTGCAGGTGGCGGCGGGAGATGAGGGCGGCTCGGATGGCGTTGTCAAAGACGTCCTTGATGCCGAACTGGGCCACCACGCTGGTCTCATAGTATGGGATGCCCAGCTCCTTGGCCACCTCCCGACCCTTCTCTGGGGGCAGGATTTCATTGGGCTTGATGGGCCTGGCAGGTTCAGGAAGGGAAACCAAGCTTGCGTTGGGGGTGGAGGGAGGCCGCCTGTTCTGCAGGCTGGAGGGACCCCACTCTGAATCTGGCTGCCAGTCCCCACCCACTCCTGCCCTGCTCTGTCTGGCCAAATCCCATCAAGCTCCTTCAAAGTCCACCCCAAACCCTTCTTCTTCTAGGAAGCTCTCCCTAACTCTCCAGTAACCTCTCCAGTGCAAAGCTGTGACAGCACTGCCTCTCTGGGAAGTAGCAGGCAATGCTTCCCATGGGTATTTAACATGCCACATAGTTACTTTATCTCCCAGCAAAATTATAAGACTTTTTCATGCAAATATCACCTCTTCCTCTCTCTCTTTCCTCATGGTGCTTTATATAGCACTGCCCACACCAGAAGTGTGCAACAGGTATACAAATGAATGAATGAATGAATGAATGAATGAGCATGCTTGTTGACTCCCGATGCAAGCTTGCTCCAAATGGAGGGAGAGATATGAGGCTCAGTGAAACTCCCCCATGGCTGAGCAGGGAGCCATGGTGAGGCTCCTGGTCTGTCTCCTTGGTACCAGCACCCCCTACCTCGCCAAGGGTCGCCTGGCCCTGTTGACAGCCTCCAGGTCAGCGTAGCGCAGGTCCAACTGGCAGCCCACCAAGATGACAGGTGCTCGGGGCAGAAGTGCTTGATTTCTGGGTACCACATGGTCTTGACATGGTGGAGGGAATTGGGGTTGGCAATGGAGAAGCACAGAACCACCACATCGGATCTGCGGGTGGGAGAGTAAGGTTACAGGCAGAGAAGCAAGCGGTAGCTTATCTGGTCCAGGAACATCAGCTCCACCACAGCCCATAGAGTCCCACACCTGGCTTAGGTATCTGCTCACGTGCTCTTACACAAAATGTGAAAGAACAGTACCTCCAATTTATGTGGCATTTTAGAGCTGAAGACTTGTTTTGGACCCACAGCTATCTTGTGAGTCGGAAATGGCAGTTTTTACTACTTCACAGCTGAGAAACATCGTCTCAGAGCTACTAGGCACAGAGCTACTAGGCACAGAGCTGGAACTCAATCCAGGCTTCCTGATTCCTGGCCCAGGCTCCCTTCACTACCCCAGGCTGCCCCAGCCCCAATGAGGCTCTGCCAGAGCTGTTTTCTCCACTCCTTCTTCCCAGCTGAAATTTCAGATGTGCTCAGTTCCTGAAAAAAGCAGGAAAAACCCACCCTGTTGTCCTCTTTAGGCAGCCAGAGGCCTTCCCTACCTCCCATAAGCAAAGCGACGGTCCTTGTGGTGGTCTCCAAAGGTGTCCCAGAGGCGCAGGGAGACGCTGACATCATCTACCACGTCTCGGGAGCGTTCCAGCACCTGGGGACAGGGGAGGAAGAGTGGGACTCGGAGACAGCAGTTTTGGGGCCCTCTGTATGTCAGCTCAGGATGGGTGCCAGCTGACACCTAGGGGTCCCAGACAGCACCAGGGATGGAGGGACAGGGCTAGCATCACCCACTGTGCACCTTGCAGAGTAATTTCACCCACAGGAAATCTCTGTAGAATCAATAACAAGGGTGGCCTCCAAGCCAACCAGGAGTGGAAGAGACCGGAAGAGAGTAGAAGAGACCGGAAGAGGGTGGAAGAGACCCTAAGGGACAACTATGGGTCTGGAAGGGGCCTCTTCAGGAGCTGACCCTTTTTCCTGGCTTCCCCTGCAAACTGCATGTTTGTGAGCCTCTGGCCTTTTGCTCTCAGCTGCCGGCTTCTTTGCTCCTCTCAGCTCGTATCTCTCCCAGGCCTCAGCCCCTTAGTGCTCCCCGTTACTTAAGGCTGTGATTACCTACAGTGCAGTACCCCAGACAAGGCTGGAGTCCCAGGCACCAGCTCGGTCCCTGAAAACACAACCAGCCAGAGACGCATCCCTGGGGTGGGCTTGGCTCAAACCTCTCTCCAGGGGCTTCTTCCTCTTCAGCTGCCCCCATCCCACTTCATCCCACCCCTAGAAGGCTCTTGTGAGCTCTGGAGACACCAAGCTTTGTGTCAGGAAGCCCCCAAGTCCAGACGCATGGAGGGGACCCCCAGCCAGGTAGCCCTGCAGCCTTACCTCCTGGCACACACGATATTGGTCGATGGCCCACACTGTGGGCACGTGCGTGGCCAGCAGCTGGTACTGGGTGAGGGTGGCATTGCAAGCACGGGCACAGATGAGCCTGGTCTTGCCCACGGCGTTGTCCCCCACCACAACGCACTTGATGGTCTCTACGTTTGGCCTTTCATAATCCATGTCAGAATCCATTAAACGGGACCTGAGGGAGAGGAGGGAGGCAGTCAGGATGGCATGGCATGCCAGCTCGCCATGGGCCAGGGCCAGCACCCGCAGCTTTCAGCCAGGCTGCCTCCGCTGCAAGCCCCACGGCTGAGAGTAGGAAGAAGGAATGGGCAACGTTCGGGGCAAGAGCTCTGCGGGGACCCAAAGGGCCAGGAGCCCATTCAGGCACAGAAGAGCAGTGCCACAAGATGGGCCTCTTGTCTTCCTGCTGCCTCCATCCTCCAGCTGTGCGTCTGGATGGAGGAGACCTGCGCAAGATCCCCAGCAGAGCCCGCCCAGGCTCTGCCCTGTCCCTTCTGCTCTCCAGAGAGGGCAGCTCACTCATCATCTGCTCTCCCTCCTCCTTCCCCAGCAGGGCAGTGGCAGCGGAACAACAAACAGCTGAGAGAAGCAGAGTGGCCAGGTCCCCACCCCTTCCCAGCATGCCTGAGGGCAGGGTACTTTAAAATTTAATGGGCTTGTCAGAGCTGGGCAGTGGCTCTCCTGGCCTCCAGCCTTTCCCTCACCCTCTCTGGTGGTGGATTTCCAAGCCCTAGCCTGCCTAAGGTGCATCCTGCAACCCCAGACCCCAGCTCCCTTTATGGAGATGCAAGAATTTTCCCTCCCAACCTCCCTGAGATGGGGATGTTTCTGGACACACCTGACCAGCTCAGGGGCCTCCCCTCCTCTACCTGGGTCTGTCCTGTTGCCCGTATATCATGCTAAGCCACGGGTCCAGCTTTGAGATGGGGGTGAGGGGAACCACAGGCCTGTGATGATTACAGTCAGTGGCCAATGGGCCTCTCCTTCCCCTACATGGGGCTATCCTCCCAGCACCCTGCCCCCAGCCTCAGAGAGAGTGAGAGCCACCTCCACCCTCTTCTGCCCCTCCCATTACTGGGGAGGACAATTCTTGGGCTGAAGATCTCAGGCAGCTGGCACTCCTGGGTGATGATCACTGAGCTGGCTACATGGGTGATGGGGTCGCCAGGAAGCAAAGGATCAGAAACTTGAGCCTGAACTTCTGGGCAAATGCTTGCCTCCGTTGCCTTCAAAATTGAGCAGAGAGGAAGTGGCTTGTCCACCCCCAGAGTGGGATGGCTTGAATGAACAAACAGAAGGCCCTTCTGTAGTCAAATGTCATGTTGGTGTTTAAAAAGCTGTCGCCTGGAGGCCCGGGGTTCAGCGTCCACCCTCCTGGGCTTAGGAAGCAGGGGCAGGCCCGGCATTACTAGGAGGCTTGGTTTCTCCAGCATTGTCTGCCCACCGCACTCACATTGCCTGTGTGCATCAAAGTCATCTGGGGGCTTTAGCAGCCCAGAGTCATTCCTCCTAGGCCAGGGAAGGCTGAGCTCCGAGTCCTGGAGGCTGCCCAGGCACCCTGGGTGCTAAGCCATCCAGTCCCAGAGCCAGGCCACCAGCAGCAACAGAGAGGTTCCACTCCTGCTGGGCTGTAACTGGATGCCAGCATGCAGGGATGCAGGACCGAAATACCCAAGTAACATAGCAACTGGGATTCTCGCGAGTGGATACATCTCAGCAACATAAGCAAAAAGCGCAGCAAGGACTTCTCAATGAGACAACCTCCTGCTCCTTCTTGGAATGTTACAAGATCTGGACCCTTCAGTGAGAGGTCTCCATGCAGTGCCCTCCGGGGTCTCCAGGGCAACTGCATCATCCCTTCCCTCTCCTCACCTTCCTCCAGCAGAGAACTATTTTTGTTTTTGTTTGAGGTGGAGTTTTGCTCTTGTTGCTCAGGCTGGAGTGCAGTGGGGCGATCTCGACTCAGTGCAGTCTCCACCTCCCGGGTCAAGTGATTCTCCTGCCTCAGCCTCCCAACTAACTGGGATTACAGGTGTGTGCCACTATGCCAGCTAGTTTTGTATTTTTGGTAGAGACAGTGTTTCACCACGTTGGCCAGGCTGCTCTCCAACTCCCGACCTCATATGGTCCACTCGTCTTGACCTCCCAAAGTGCCGGGATTACAGGTGTGAGCCACCACGCCTGGCCCAGAGAACTGTTATTCTAACCACAGGCTTCCTCCTCCCAATTCTCTCTCCTGAGCTGAGGACCCAGAACCCCACTTTGACAGTTTCTGATCTCAAGCTGAGGGATGTGCTGGTGCCAGGAGGCGGCATCTGGGCTGTGGTTTCTGTTTTGTCAAGTGGATACCAAAACAGATAGAATCCCAAATACAAAATATGTGCAGCTGGAGGATAAAGATTAACACCCAACAGCCAAAAGAACTTCTTTCTCAAGTTGCAATTCTAGCAGCATGTTGGTCTGTGGACAGAAGCGGGGGGAATGAAGAGGCCTAATGGAGGGGGTGCCAGTTCTCAAATCGAGGGGCACCTTGACAATGAGAATAACGCCAGGACACCGGCAGAGCAGTGCTGGGCCAAGTTCAGCTACTTTGAGGTGAAAACACTGGTACCCACCTTGTGCTGTGTCACCTCTAGGGCTAAGCAGGGATCAGCCAACCAATAAATCGGAACATGACAAATGCCGTGCTGTGAGTTTAGACACCAGACCTGCTGCGTTGCTTCCCCTTCCATCCACTCCCCAGCCCCTTCAGCCGTCCCCAGCTTGTCCTTCAGTACTTCTCTGTTTGTCTCATCTCACCCTTTCTATCCTGTCCCAACTGCCTGACTGGCAAATCTTACCATCCTATCTAGGAAGGGGCAAGTCACTTCACTTTTGTGGGCATCAGTCTCCCCCTCTGGGAAATGGGTATGAAGGCATTGGAAGACAGTCTCCTAAACCTTGGTTAATTTGTGCCAAGAGAGCCCAGGCTGATTTGTCTTCTTATGTAATGTGGTATTATATAATGCTAGATTGCATATCTATATGTGTAATTATATCTCTAAGATACAGACTGGCCCAATTCAGCCAGCAGAACTCTTAGTCTAATCAGGCCTGTCCTAAATGAGGAGCCTGTCCTGGAGAGAGCATGCCAACAGTAATAACAGTTTTTGCCCCAGGATGTGCTGATGTATCATTGCTGATATATGGTGATACAGCCCACTCAGTGAGCTTCTCAATTTCCCCTCTCCCTCTGGTACTCTCCCTTCCATGACTCCAGACTCTCCCTCACAATTGCCTCATCCCACTCAATCATCCATAACTATGACCTCCTCACCACCCAGCCCTGGGCATCACAACCCCAAATTCACTCCTCCCCATGATAATCACAAAGTCACTGGTATGCGTTCCTTCCATCCCTGTCCCATGATCCCTGTGGCCCCCTCCAAAACAGCCTCCTGCCCCTGCTCTCCCAGCTCTTCTACTTGGTACAAGCAAAAACCCAAGGTGTGCTGAAATTAGCTACAAAACCTCGTGCACTCCCATTCCCACCCCCACACCCTTACACACACTCTGCAGAGCTCAGAAAGGGCCCCTTTCCCTCCCACAGCTGATAGGAGGCTTGTTCATCTGTGGCTGCCCTAGTCTGGTGTCAAGGAAACGAAAGAATCTCCCTGGGAGCCTGGCTTGTCTCCTAGCAACCAATATCCCACATCATCTTACAAAACGGTAAAGGGAGGAAAATCCTGAAAATGAAGGTAAAAAGCAAGGGAGGTGGATAGGAAGGGAGAATTGGAAGGAGAAGAACAAAGAGAGAGTGGACTCCGAATTCCGGGAGGCTCCCACGGGGGTCGCTGGCACTGCAAGGAGCCCCGCGCAGATCCAACAGAAAGCAAGGCCCAAATGGACGCTGAATGGTCATATTAACAAAGGAATGCAAGCCTCAACACAGGATGAGCCCCCTCAAACCTGAAATGTGGACACATCACCAAATACCGCCAAGGATCTCCCCAGTAGTTTCACTGAACTCAGTTTCACAGACTGCAACGGAGTTCAAAGAACCAGCTCCAGAACCGCCTGTCACACACCCCAATTCCACTGTTGTTTGGATTTTGTTTTCTTAGCAGAATCACTTCCACCCCTCTGGACCGTTTTTCTTTTTTTCTGACACGCTGTTCTGCACACACACAAGAGAAATTTAAAAATTTTTAAACACAGAGAAGGGGGAGGGGCGCGACACGCCGAGGCAATCAAGTCATCTTCCGCTCCCTAGAAACACCCGGAAAGGGTTAGTCTCCAGACCCTCTGAACCAGCAGCGGGAGCCAGAGCGCAGGGAGGAGCGGGGCCCAGGGGACGTCGCGAGGGGCGCAGCAGGGCCGGGAGGGCGGCGCGGCGCGGCGCGTCTGCAGGGTTGCTGGCCACCCCGCCATAACCGCAAGCGGCCATCTACTTACAGCACTACATGTGACGGGGTGGCTTCTAGCGTGAGGAACACATCTCTTCCTGCTGAACACGCTCATTTTAGTGAAATGTCGGGGGTCCCTCCGCGCCTGCAAGTTGGGGCGACGCCGGCGCCGCCGCGCTGCTGCTGGGTTCCAGCCTCCGGGCCGGCTCGCAGCCGCTCAGAAACTCCGGCAGAGCAGCCCAGGCCGGACGTCGGCCCGGGAGCCGCCGCGCGCGCTGCACTGCAGCCGCTGCCCCTTCCGGATCAGCATCGCCCCGCGCCCCGGGCGCCCAATGTCACCGCGGCGCGCTGAGCCGAGCTGCGGAGGCTGCGGGCAGCGCGCAGGGGCGCCGGGAGAGGGGCGAGGCCGCCGCTACGCGCCCGGGCCCGCGGCGAAGGCGCTGCCGCGAAGACGCCTGGCGCTGCAGTCCCGGGGACGCTCGCGACCTCCTTTTTTCATTCACAAAAAAAGGAAAGAGAAAAAAAAAAGAAAAGAAAAAATGGGAGGGTGAAAAAGGGGAAGACAAAAAAATCGCACCGAGAGGACGGCCGTGACGGGCCCCGCCCAGCGCCGCGCGCGGTTGGTGGAAAGCGTTCGGGGGGCCGGGGGTGTCGGGCGGGGAAAGAAGGGGATTGGACGCCCCGGATACCCCGCCCCTCCGCACCGCTCCGGCCCGCCGCCCGCGCTCTTCCGCCCCTCCCGCAGGGACCCGGAGGGGAGGGTTTCGGCTCGTGGGTTCGGTGGCTCTCGTGCCTCCACCTGGCGAGGCTCAAAGCCTCCCGGACTCCCACGGCGTTTTCCCCTTTCCTCCGGGAGGCGGGCAGGAACCTCTGAGAGACATCCTAGTGCGCCCTGGAAGGGATGCGAGTTGGAGAACGCGTGGTTGTAAACCCACGCCCCCACCACTTGCCCAAGGTTAGGCGACGGCAGAGGCAGACAGGGTGTGGGTGGGGAGGAAGAATGGCGTTTCCATACAAGCCCTCTGCTGCCTTGGAAATTTTCGTGGCATTTGAGAGCCTTCCTCTCTCCATGGCCCTTAATGAATTGTGGGGTGGGTACCTGTACCACCTTACCTGTCTCCCACCGAGGTCTTCAGCCGATCCCCACCTCCATCCCACCCCCATCCTGTTGCCTCCTGGAGTTCAGGAATAGCTTCTGACCTCAGAAAGAAACACCATGGAGACAGGAGCCTCGACAGTCATCTCTAAGTCTTCTTTGGGTTCTCTGCCTCAATTTACGCCTCTGTACAGATAGAGAGATTCTAAGCTGTAACATCTATAACATGAGTGGTCCTTAGAAGAACCTTTCCATATTCAAGGCTGCTTTTATCAGGATGATTTGTTTTGTTTTGTTTTTTAGACGGAGCCTCCCTCCCATGCTGGAGTGTGCAGTGGCATGATCTCAGCTCACTGCAACCTTTGCCTCCTGGGTTCAAGCCATTCTCCTGCCTCAGCCTCCTGAGTAGCTGGGACTACAGGTGCGTGCCACCTCGCCGACTAATTTTTTTTATTTTTAGTAGAGACAGGGTAACCACCTTGGCCAGGCTGGTCTCGAACTCCTGACTTCAGGTGATCTGTCTGCCTCAGCCTCTCAAAGTACTGGAGTTACAGGTGTGAGCCACTGTGCCTGGCTAGGATGATCTTGACTGTTAGTGTTACAGCAGTCAGCTCAGTCTGGTTTGTTTCAGCTCTTTGTTACCTCTGGACAATTTTTAAAGCCCAGACTGGCATACCGCCCACCTGAACCGCCTCCACCACTCCTCCATCTTGTGCTCTGAAAATGCAAATCCACTCTAATATTAGTTTATGCAAAATATGATTAGGAAGAGAAATTTACTGCCAAAAGAAAGCTGAGTTAAAACTGAATTTTATATGGTCTGAAACATGCTTCTCATCTGTGAATGCCTATACTTGGAAGCTGTCCATCAAGGTGTTTGTGATCAACCTGCCTTACTACCTGGTGGATGTATGGGAAGTGCTCAGTTGGTGGAGGATGGGCCCCCACCTCTTTCCAAATCTACCCAGAGCTAGCCAAGAGGTTAACAATGACGGACGGTGCTACTTCTCATTTCTGGTTAGAATTCACCCTCCATAAACCAGAAAGTACTCATTTGAATACATATTTAGGAGAGAAACTGAACCATGCTCGCATATGTTCTTCCCCACATGCTTGGCATTGAAGAGCCTTACCCCAGCTCCTGTGTGCCAAAGAGCCCCTGCACCAGAGAAAAGCGTAATAAGACCTCTCTGCATGGTGCCCACGGCAGGCCAGGGTCTCTCCCAGGGACACCCTGTTCACTCCACCCACCTCTAGAGACTGGCTGAGTGCCAGATGCTGGTTTCATCACCTTTCACCTGTCCTAGCAGTAGACATGGCCCCAGTGCAGCAAGGAGTAGGAAGACAGAACTCCTTCCACTCTAAGTCATGAAGGAGAGGGTGGCTACTCGGCCTGTAAGCTGGAGCCAATGCCCTCTTTGCCTTTAGAGACAAAGCTAGCCCAGCCTGGAAACCTCAACGAGGCTGGGCTGTGCGAATTCCAAGGTGTAGGGTTGGTTGTCGGGGTGGGGGGGAAGGTCTTGAACAAAGATGTGGGTGGCAAATGAAATTGCACCCCCACAGCCCCTGCCATGCTCACACTCAGTGAACTGTTTCAGGCAGAGGTAGGAGCTTTGCTGGGGAGGTGGCCTCAATTCCCAGCCCTGCTTTTTGCACGCGATTCCCTCTTTCCGGTTTTCTTCAAACCAAAGGCCTTCCCCATCATTTCGCCTCTTGGGCTGTCATGGTTGACGCCCCCTCAGTCCTCTTTTATCATCGATTTCCTCCAGGTCTCCACCTCCTCCATCCAGTGCCCTTCAGCCCATACTCAGCAGACCCTTGTCACTGTCGAGCCGCCCCATCCATGTCCCACCTAGGCTGTCTGGGGACCCCCGCAGACCCCTCCTTCAGGCCAGCCTGCAGGGAGCTCCAGTGGTTTGATATTCCCAGCTCAGATGGCAGCATTTCCCCTGCTGTATGAGGAAGCAGACCACCAGCAAGCTCCAGTCCTCGGCCTGTGCCCCAGTTGTGGCTAAAACCAGGCCGTCTTCCCAGCCAGCCCTGGCCAGGACTGCCCTGGGGCCTCCAGTCCTGCTACTCAAGACAGCCTCCAGCCCCTGGCACCCCAGCCAAGGATGTGCCACATACCTTAATCTTTGCCCAGCCCTCCAATGCCAGATCCTAGAAAACAGGGCCATTCCCTGAGGCCAGGCTTTCCCACCAACAAGCAAGGAGGTATTGGGGTCCTCTCCTGCCCATCCCTGTCCCCAGCTGTGAGCACCGGCAGGCAGCAGCATCTCACAGCACAGGAAGCCACCCATTCCCCTCACTGTGCCCTCCTACCCCTGGTCTTGAGGAGTCCATTTTCCTTGATTCAAGTGACTTCTCAAGGCAGGCCTGGAGGGGAGAGAAAAGCTCCTGGCCTCTTTCTTTCTCTGCCTCCTCCATTCTGTTGTATACACAGACACCCCCTCAGCCCTCTATGCCCATTTGCTGCACTTTGGAAACACTGGTGTGATTCCGAGGAGCAGTTCAGCCTGAGCGCTGACTCCCCCCATCACTGGCTTGTGGAGCCTCTACGCCGGCTTTCGCTGTTGGACCTGGCAATGTCCTGCCACATGCCTGGCCACGTGGCTGCAGCCCGAGGGCTTCCTGGCAGCATGGAGGCAGGTTCCATTCTACAATATCCTGCCCCTGCCTGACCCCAGCATCTCTTCCCTCACCAAAGCCCTCTTGCAGCCCCCCCCACAGTGACATAAACCCCTGGAACCTGTCCCCAGAAGGCACCCCCTCCATTCCTCCCCACACCACCCTCCTCCAGGCCGTCACGCAGCTGCTGCTTTCCTGAAACCGGGCAGATGCCTGTCTATGAGCGGGAGGTTTATCTGGGGAAAGAGAAACCTCCCTCATGGCTCTTAGGAAAGCGGGCATGCAGCAGGCTCCCTGGCCAGCCCCACCAATGTTGCTCTTCCCGTGGCTGTGAAGGCCCCTCCCTGGTGCCAGCCCAACCTACACAGACCCCCTGGCTCAGCCCCTCCTCTAACCTGGACCTTCCCTTTGCTTCACAGGCAGCTTTACCGTTCAAGACTCTGCAGGCTACTAACCACAATTCCATGGCACCCCTCTCCTGGAACACTAGAGCCTCTGCAGAGCCCACCCCGTGGGCCTTGTGACATGAGCTCCGCCTCCCACCCCCAGCCTTGTGCAGGCTGGGGCACGTGGTGTCCCTGCCCTGCAGTTGGGGCAAAGTTCAGAACCAGCCTGAGCAAAAGTAGAGGCATTTCAAGACGCAGAGCCCCCGCAGGGTGAAGGAGCTGGAGCTAGAGCTAGAAAGCCTAGAGTCGCTCAGCCTCCCTGTCCAGGGCTTAAGGGATACCATCAGGTCTCCACTAGGAGACAGGAAGCTTCTGGGACTTTGCACAAGCAGTTCCCTCACCCTGAACACTTTTTTTTTTTTTTTTTGAAATGGAGTCTCGCTCTGTAGCCCAGGCTGGAGTGCAGTGGTACAATATCAGCTCACTGTGACCTCTGCCTCCTGGGTTCAAGTGATTCTTCTGCCTCAGCCTCCCGAGTAGCTGACACTACGAGTATGTGTACCACACCTGCCTAATTTTTATATTTTTAGTAGAGACATAGTTTCACCATATTGGCCAGGCTAGTCTCAAACTCCTGACCTTTGGTGATCCGCCTGCCGTGGCCTCTCCAAGTGCTGAGATTATAGGCGTGAGCCACCAGGCCCAGCCTACTCTTTCTGTTTCTACTCCTTTCACCAGATAAATTCATACTCATCATTCAAGTGTCAGCCTAGATATCACTGCCTCCAGGAAGCCTTCCATGAATACTTTCTTACATCTGACAAAGTATACGTTTCCTGTTGTGCTCCCCTAATAATACCACTCTATCATTGGGGTTTTCTCTGTCCTTGACCGTACTGAGAATTCTCTGGGATTGGCAGGGGAGAGCTTTCTCCTAAGAGCCAGCACGGAGGTGTCTCTTTCCCCAGTTAAGGCACCTGCTCACAGCCAAGGAAGCAGCATGCTGATGCTGGTTTAGGCCAGGTGGGTGGCTCACGCCTGTAATCCCAGCACTTTGGGAGGCCGAGGTGGGAGAATAGTTTGAGCCCAGGAGTTGGAGACCAGCCTGGGCAATGTAATGAGACCCTGTCTCTATTTAAAGAAAAAAATTTTTAAAAGATAATGCTTATTCAAAAGGTATTTTTGACTTGGTGCTGTGGCTCACACCTGTAATCCCAGCACTTTGGGAGGCCAAGGTGGGTGAATCACTTGAGTTCAGAAATTCATGACCATCCTGGCCAAGAAGGTAAAGCCCCCTCTCTACTAAAAATACAAAAATTAGCTGAGCGTGGTGGCGTGTGCCTGTAATCCCGGTTACTCTGGAGGCTGAAGCAGAAGACTCGCTTGAACCTGGGAGGTGGAGGTTGCAATGAGCTGAGATTGCACCACTGCACACCAGTGCAATGGCTGAAGAGTGAGACTCTGTCTCAAAAAAAAAAAAAAGTATTTTTTATGCCGGTCTAGTGCCTGCAGTCTGGTCCTTCCACAAACATTTGGGAGATGCTCAAGAAAAGCTCACGGATGAATGAATGGGAAGAGAGAGGATGGCACACAGTAGCTACTCACATGCTATCCGAAGGGGTCTTCCAGGGGCCATCCTGCCCTTTCCTCCAGGCTTGCATTGCTCTGTGTTCGTTCCAGGCTCCTGGTTGGGAGGGGCGGGAGTGGATGGGGTGGTGCAGGAAAGACAGAGGGAAGAGAGGGAATGAGCACATTGCCAATTGGACCTTACTCCAAGGTCGTTGAGCTCAGATGGAGGGCTCTACTCAGGACAAGAGAGTGGCCCCTGCTGTCTGGGCCCAGCCATGGGTGAGACCCCAGCCGGGGGGGGGGGGGGGCTAAGACAAAGGCCACCCCAGGTAGTCAAGGGACTAAATGAGAAGCTGAAACTGGGGTCCTGGTGCACACGTGTGCATTCTGAGCTGGTTTGGCGGTTTGGAAAGGAGCGGTCAGCCGTGCATCGGTGCCTGGGCTCTGCCTGCACGAAATTGCATGACGCTGAATCATTTCCTTCCCTCTCTGGGCCTCACTTTCTCATGGACAAGGGCCAGGTTAGGTGACCTCCAAGACTCATTCTGACCCCGACATCCTCTGTGGGTGTCTGGCATGAAAGGTCTGTATTTTCTTGGTCATTGTTTTTATTGAAACATCTCCTGACCCAAATTAGGACTCAGAAAAAGATCAGCTGATGGCCACCATGGCTGAGAATGGAAGGAGGGAGGTATTTTTTTGGAGAGAGAGTGAGGTTTAAACACATGGTAAGAGACAGAAAGAGAATCTAATTCTGCAATCGTCCCCACCTTCAGTTTCTTTAAATGGTCAGTCACAGTCTTGGGACCAGTTTAGCTAAAGAAAAGTCTAGAATTTCAGGAGAGATTAGGAGTGATCAAGAAAGAGATGAGAGAGGCCAGGCAGGCAGCTCTGGAGGCTGCTGACACTGTGCGGTTCAGGGACATGGAGGGGCGCTTCTGTGACAACCCCTCAGGGACAGGGAAGCCAGAGAAGCCACGAGAAGAGGCAGCTTCCAGGAGGGAGTGGAGACCAAGGCACAGGAGCAGCCACTGAACTCAGTGCCAGCCTTGGAAGTGGCTGTGTGACTTTGGGCAAGAACCTTAATCTCTCTGGTCTCCCATTGGGGAGATAACATTATCTCTTACCTGAAGACAGGGATGGCTACATGACGTTATTCCTGTCCCTTCCAGCACTGAGACCCTTCTAACTTTTTCTCCACTTCTGCCTGCTCCCCTTCACAGACCTAAGCCCCATGCCCTGGGTAAAGGGGGAGCCACCTCCCATTTGTGCCCCTGCCGTCTCGGCCTTGTGTGGAGGACAGACAGCACAGAGGGTAAGAGTCTAATCCCCTAAGGTCAAAAAATCCCATGTAGAACCAGATGCAGTAGTGCATGCCTGTAGTCCCAGCCACTCTGGAGGCTGAGGCAGGAGGATCACTTGAGCCCAGGAGTTCAAGGCTGCAGTGCACTATGATCGTACCACTGCACTGCAGCCCGCGTAGCAGAGCAAGAACCCATTTCCCCCAAAAAAGAGAAAGAAAGAAAAATCCCATGCCCACCTTGGCTCTAGTGCCCTGTGGGTCTCCCAGAAAAATGAAGGCTGGGACAGGGACATCTTACAGTGGAGTCCTCCTGGCTGGCCAGCCTCTCATCCTACATGCACCCACCAGAGCTGCTCCAAGCAGGACCTGAAGAATCCACTTCTAGTCCGGTCTGGCCAGGCTACGCCTAGTCCCTGCTGACAGAGATGTTGGCACACAGACGCCTGTACCCATTCCCCCAATCCTCCCTACACTGGCCCTGCCTCCTAGGAAGTCACACTGGCCAAGGCCTGCATGAAACATTTACTGCATCTCTGAAGCATCCCCTCCTTCAGTAAAGAAATTGGGGCATTGGTTTTTGTCTTTTTTTTTTTTTTTTTTTTTTTGAGACGGAGTCTTGCTCTGTCACCAGGCTGGAGTGCAGTGGCACAATCTCGGCTCACTGCAACCTCCATCTCCTGGGTTCAAGTGATTCCCCTGCCTCAGCCTCCTGAGTAGCTGGGACTACAGGCACCTGCCACCATGCCCGGCTAATTGTTTGTATTTTAGTAGAGACGTGGTTTCACCATGGTCAGGATGGTCTCGATCTTCTGACCTAGTGATTCTCCCGCCTCGGCCTCCCAAAGTGCTGGGATCACAGGTATGAGCCACTATGCCCGGCCTGGTTTGTGTCTTTCAAGAGTTCCAAGTACCACCCTTAATGCCATGAAACAATGCATACAAAGGAAATGCATGGTATATATCAATGATCGCTGATCCACTCCGAGTCGCCTGGAATGATGATATCTCAAGACGGGGCCTGGAAGCTACCATCAAGCAGGCCTGCATGAAAGAAGCTAGATCCTGTGACTTCCACCTTATTTTCTGGGCAGAGAAGGTATAAGAGGAAGACGAAAATGCAGACTGCAGTCGGGGCTTCCAGGTCTAAGAATCCTTTGCCTTGACCAAGCTGCAGACCTCCTGAGAGAGGGCAGGCCCCGTTCCTTAAGCCCAGCACAGCTGGGAGTGAGAAGCTTTGAGGAGGCTGGTCACCCCAAAATAAACTTGTTTTTTTTCACAACTTTTTCATGAGGCATTAGCATCTCTTGCAGCATGGGAAAAAAATAGCCTGAACTGTTAACAAATAAAGATTATAAAAAGCCCCAACTGTTCCCTGAGGGTTTCCATGTGGCTGCAGTATTTAGAGGGGGGAGTGTGAGTCCAGGAGCCCCCGTCTCTCCTCCTCTTATCCACCTCTCTCCCTCTGTAGTTGGTTCTGCTCACAGGGTTAGCAGTTGATTTCAGGGATGAGAAAGTTATTTGTTGACCTTCATAAGTGGTCCACTGCGCATGCGTATTCTTGTTTACTGCTTCCAGATAGAGTGCGTGGAACAGAACAGGCTCCTTCAAAACATGATCATATTGCAATGAGGCTGTTTTCAGTGAAGCTGTCTGACTGGGGGTGCAGAATCTGTGTAGTAAACACGTGGAGTTCTTATCAAGGTCAGCTAAACTTGAACTTTGACCCTTCCCTTGGGCATTGCTGGATGTCAGTAACTAGGAATGAGTTTAGGGTTGTAGTTGCTTTAGATCCAGCTTAAAGGATTACCAGGGGCCACCTGGGAGGGGCTGTGGTTCTCGTCTGTGTTCTGCGTTACTCTTGCAGAGTTCCAGGCTGGACCCTGCCGAGCTATCCCCCATACCCTCTGCCTTCCGGGTACATGGACCCCCAAATGACAACACAAGCCAGAGAATGGTGTCAAAACCCTTGAGTGGAGTCAGGAGCTGAGTCCCTGTCCCTATGGAGTCTTCAAGAAAGCAGGTAATTAGCCTGGATGATACCTGAGGAGTCTCTGGCCCTGACTTTTTATAGCTGGAAGAAGAGAACGCCCCCCAACTCTCCAGGGCTCTGTGTTCTCCACCAGACTCATTCATCCATGGAAGACCCCTCTAGTCCATCTTCACAGGCCACTCTTTTCCCCTCCTCACTTCTCTTCCTCCTTTTGTTTATCTGTCCTATCCTTTCCCCACTTCCTAAGCAGAGATTTCTATAAAAATAAATGCACGTGGCTCTGGCTTGGACGGCTTACAAATGAGCAGGCTGGGACGACCAGATTCCCAGGGGCGCTGGTGGACAGTATTCAAGCCTGGCTGGGCCCTAGGTGGACAAGGGCAGGGAATGCTGACCAGAAGTTTCCTGAGGTGGTGACAGTGGTGGGAAACCCACAGGGCAGCAGCGTTGGCTCTGGTTTTCTCTGGACCCTCAGCCCTCTCTCAGGCTCCCATCTGCCCAAGTTAGCAGCCACCTCTGAGCTCACCCAGGGGAATCCCACCCCCTCCAGAGGGATAATTTTTAAGCTAAGAAGAGAGAAAGGGCTTGGGTGGAGAATACTGAGAGTCCATTCTGACTTGTCACAGCGAAAGCATTGCTCTGCAGGACATGGCTATTCCCCCCGACACAGTCTCTGACCACTCCACGAGGCATGAAGTGAGGTGCGGGGAGGCAGGCAGGCAGGCAGGCCAGACCACGGGCAGCTAGTGCAGGCTCCGGAGGGGAAGGAGCCAGTGCTGAGCTGGAAGCTTTCTGTGGAATAGGCTGGACCCCAGATGGTCTGGTATGCAGGGGCCTGGGCTGAGCAGCAGGGACCACAGGCTGCTGCTGTGCTGCCCACTGGACACATGGTTCAGGGTCCCTCAAAGGCCACTAAACACACGCCTCAACCTTCTGGTTGTCTGTGCCTCACCAATGCCTGGAAACCTTGACTCTGAGTCACATAATCTTCCTCCCAACCCACCCTCTCTTCCTCTTCCTTCTGGGAGGCTCCAGCAGAGAGCCCCCTGGCAGCTGCTGGTGGAAGCCTGGCTGGAGGAGAGTCTCCCTAGAGGAGACTCATGCATTGCCACCTCTGCAAAGCTTCACAGCAGCCATCCCTTCGCAGATGCAGAACTGACACCCAGAGAGCCAGGGACTGGGAGGTATCAAGTCCAGGGTCCAGCCACGATGGCCTGCCTGCAGGCTGCCTCCCAGCTGCAGGCCTGCAAGATGGTGGGGGGGGGGCCGGTTATGGAGGGCAAAGGTGGCATGGGGCACCAGCCGCCCTTCTGGACAGAATACACCTGACCTGTCTGTGCAGCACCCCAAGTCCCCTTGCTTAACTTGGCTTCCCCTTTTCTCTGAAAAATATGAGGCTTGTTTGGTCTTCCTTCATTTATCCTTTCTTTTTTTTTTCATTTATCAAATAATACAGGGTAAACCCTTTTTTTCTTTTTTCTTTTCCTTTTTTTTTTTTTTAAAGATGGGATTTCACCGTGATGGCCAGGCTGGTCGTGAACTCCTGACCTCAGGTGGTCCACCCACCTCAGCCCTCCAAAGTGTTAGGATTACAGGCATGAGCCACTGCGCCCGGCTCTTTTTTTCATTTATCAAATACAGGGTAAACTCTTGCTAGTGCCAGACCCTGTGCAAAAGATGGTGAGGATGATAAAATGATGATACACTACCACGTGGTCAAGGAGCTTGAGTTTAATAATAATTCTAAAAACCTTATTGAGCATTTATGACATTCCCGGGGTTGTGCTGCATGTACTACTTTATTTAAATTTCAAAACAATCCCATGAGATGGAGGAACTATTCTTATCCCCACTTGGCAGGGAAGGAAACTGAAGCTCTGAGACGGGATGTGACTTGCCAGGGTTGGA